TTCACATATTTATAAATATGTATAAATATGTGAATTTTCATATATCTAAATCTTCATTCACTCGGATGTTTATTTGTACCCAATTCATTGACCAGCTCCCAGTTGGCTTGTTAGCTCAATTGGTAGAGCGCTGCACCGGTATCGCAGAGGTCATGGGTTCAAATCCCGTACGGGCCTGAAATTTTTTTCAGGTCCTACTTACAATTACTAGTTTCAGTAGTGTTCTTAGCTGCGAGGATCTTCTAATTTCATCTTTCCACCGCAGTGCAAATATGTGAATTTTCATATATCTAAATCTTCAGAAATTAAAGTTATTAATAAGAAAGAATGCTTCTGTCAGCAATTATGAAAAATGATACTTGTCAATGCAAATTATTTGAAATGTGTTTCTGCCTCATTCTCTTCTCTAGATAGTGCTGAGTTTCCATTCAATAAATTAAGGAAACGTTACATACATGTAGAGTGATTACTTTTTCAGTTGTTCTCAACAGTTTTTTTTTTTGGAATATTAAGATGGTAGAGGCTGACGATGGTGAAATAGTATATAATGATAAACTAAGTTTTTTCGGTGTTGATCTTAAATTATGCCTTAAAAAACTGACAATGATGTAGTTTAGATAGATTTTGTACATCATATACAATCAGTTAATCAAATGTTGGTTTGACCTGTTATCGTGTCGCTATTAAAAGTAACACCATGAATTTCACTTTGTACCCTACCCCTGAGGGTTGACTCCCATTGCTATGGACACCCTCGCAGGGAGATTAAATGTCTGAAATAGCGAAAAGTCTGTAATAACGGGGTGTGAGAGATATGAAATTGTTTTGTTTCTTAACATATGAAATAAAGTTTCCAACGTGGCCTCACAAACGGGAAAGAGATCTGGCCGCAAGCAGGAAATTCTCATGTTCACACCCTGTTGAAGAATGGTTTCTTTTTTTCCTTTTTCATAATGTCGCTTTATAGTATGTTAGTCAGGATTTTGAATGAAGTATCAAGTGTCTGTTATAGCAAGAGAAAAAACAAGTGAAACTTCGTGCAGGGGGGCTTGAAAGTGTCTGCTTTTCGGTGAAAGGAAGAGTCCGTTTTAAAGGGGGTTTATTTCAGTCATTTCTTCATGCTTTTCCCCAGGGGCTGGCTCTTGTTTGCAGTGGCGAGGTGTCTGTAATAGTGAGGGGTACGCAGGGCGAGAGTCAACTGTAGACTAATCCAAATTTGGCATTGTTTCATTTTCTACTTTAGCTAGGGATGGTATTGAGTCGGCATGTGGTAAAAATACACAATAGTTGTTTTCAACGATGATCGTGGAGTTATAATGAAGAACTAACACTGTTTTACTCTAACATGACAATAATTTGCTGTTTGCACAAGTATATCTGTTGTTATCTTTTATGTTTAAAGTCAGACACTGAATTTTGAAAAGCTCTGTATACCTTTGCCCCCAGGTTCTCTCCATTCTCTCCCCACCACTGATCTTAAGGAAAAGCTAGAGCAAGTATTTGAGGAAACTGAGATGCTGAGAATGATAGGTGAATAGAAAAATTCATATCTTGTCATTTTTTAGAGAGATACTGGTACAAGAATGCTAACAACTCTCCATAAAGTTTGCTTAGGTTTAAAAAATAAACTAAGATATTTAATAGGTAAAAACCAAACATTTTCGAAACCAGGTCATCATCAGGGTGATGATGACCTAGTGTCGAAAAAGTTTGCTTTCTATATTTTTTAAATATTTTAGCCATGTAAATAGCTCAATGCCATGAAATGAATTCATATTTTTTCCAGTAAACACTTTAAGAGAAATTATTCCCTACCTGAGATATTAACCATTTTTTGTCTTTACTTTCATCCAAGAATGCTGTGAAATGTTCTCAGCTGTTATTCAGTAACTTTGTTTTGTTGAGGAAAATATTTTCAATTCAGTTTTGTCTCTTAATCCACAACTTCAGTTAAAGGTAGTATTAAATTAGCTGTGGCATGTGATAATGAAATATTACTTATAGATAGGTTATTTCACAATGATATAATGGAAAACTTGCATCATTGTTCTTTCACTTGACCTTGATACATGTTATGATGCTTTAACTTTTTATATCAGGTGAGGCACTAAGTGTTAAATATATTTCTGTGTACCTTTGCTCTCAGGTAATTTTTCTGTCCTTAAACTTTCAACCATTGATCTTGAGAAAAAACTAGCTGAACTAAGCATGAAGCTTCAGAGGCTCAGAATGGAAGGTGAATATAAAATGTTTATTGATTCACTATCAGAAAGAAATAAATCCAAGAATGCCGTTAAAGGCTTCCACCCCCGTATCGAATTATCACTTTTCAAGGAAAATTGTTCCTTATTTAAAATAATCTGTTATCTGATTTTATTACTATTGATGAATGCTTCCACTCCTTATTCAAATTATACATTTTCAAGGGAAACTATTCCTTAGTAAAGATGATCCCTCTTCCTTTATAATTATTAAGTGAGATAGTTATCCAATACTTTCAGTTCTTCACATGAGCCTAGTACAATGTGAAGTGTTTGTTAAATGCCTGTTTTTAAACATTTATGCGAGGTAAGGCACTGAATGCTAAATACAGTGTATCTCTCTGTTTACCTTTCCTTTCAGGTACTTTGCCTCCCCCTGAACTCTTTACTGCTGATCTTGAAGATGAACTAAAACAACTTCAACGACTTATTTGGATACTTATACGAAGAGAAAGAGAGAAAGGTGAGTGAAACATGCGTATTAACTCTGTTGAAAAGGGCAAAAGAAATATGGAAAGTAATGTAAGGAAATAGTTCCACTAGTATTTCAGGCTTGATTTTTTAAGTAACAAGCTGAAAGGTGAAACACTTTCTTTGAGTTTGTTATAAAGGGTTCCTATTATTTTCTCTCAAATATCTCAGCCCTGCATGCAACTTGCAAAACATCTGCGCTGCACATTACATGTTGAAGCATTGAATAATGTGCATTTACTCCATATTTAAGATAACCCCTCCTCTTATATAATGTTATCAACCAAGAATGGTGTTTAAAAATTCTTTAAACCATTTTGCTGTTTACTTCTTCTCTCAGGTAGTTCAAGTTCCCTTTTTTCCACCTTTGATACAGTATTAAGCCTACGCCAGGAACTTGAGAAAGTCAAGATGGAAGGTGAATAAATAATACACATTTGGAGAAAAAACAATTTTAGTAGAATGCTATTAAACGCTTCCACTTCTTTATCGAAGTATCTTTTTCCACGGAACTCCTGCACGTGCAGTCTTTTTCTGCATTAATTATTAACAATTGCAATGCTCATTAGAGGCCTAAGATATAAGTTACATAATTACATTGGCACCCTGCACTTAGATGGAGACTATTTTCACGAGTGGTAAATCCTGGCAACCCAGCCATCAGCCGTCATGTAGTAAGGAGACAACCTCCCACTGCGCTAGAAAAGAAAATAATAAAAGAAAGGAAACAAAAGCTCAGGGAAAAGTGAATTTCTTCTTAGCGCGTGTTAAAAAATAACTGGTCTCTGAGGATAAGCTTATGCTGGTCTTAGAAACTTTCAAATTTTGGTACATATGCAAAATTACAGGTACTGTTTCATGTTATGCGTAGTTTCGTGGTGCGTGCTTGTAGTGCACGGGATTTGCACGCGCATCAAGTGCGCGCTACTGTCGTGAATCTTGGATACAACTCTAGCATTTTATCAGAGTGGTTAGGCATTTTTAATCGTATCCATTTACAACATTGATGTGTTAAGGCCCGCAAGCGTCAAATTGTGCTCTAATTTAGAACAAGGTGTACACATGCAGTTTTTAAATTGAGTTTGTGTGTCGGACGTTGAGGAGCCTTTGTGTAAGCCACCTCAGAGTTACGATGACCACATCGCGCTACCAGAGGTTATTAGCTTTACCATATTGCTGCTTCAATATTGCATGTAGTACTAATGCATGTCAGTGAACTGTTGTACATGTAGGAGGGTCTCAATGGGGCTAACCGTTAACCGTAATATAGCGAAAACATTTTGCCGTTAGTCGTAAAAATTGACGAATTTCAACCGTAAGTCTTAACATAAAATAATTGTTTATTCACGATTCAAATTTTAATGAAAGGTAAAAAGAAACAAAAGAGGTTACCCCTTTTAAGTTTGTCTCCTAAAACAATTAAAAATTACAGTAAAATAGTTCAAAATTTCCTAGAAAATTAGTAAAATGGCGTCTGACTCTGCTCTTGAAAATGTTCAGAGTTTCTGCCTCTGCAACTATTTTAGGTAAATTATTCCATTCATTGACTATACTTGCACAGAAAGAGTACTTAAAACTGTTTAGCTTTGCGGGCAATGGTTAAAGTTTATGGCGATGGTTGGTTCTTAATGGTCGAAAATCATGTGCAAATGTAAAATACTCAAATGGGTGAAGCCCGTTAAGACTGTTAGCCGTCTCATAGCACTCGGTAAGCGAAGAAAATAATCTTCTCTGATGTAGAGTTGGCCATTTAAGGACCTTTAAGCGCTCTTCATACGACATATCTCGGCCAATGTTTCTGATTGCATAGCTAGGTGTTCTGCGTTGTACTTTCTCTAAAATAGCCAAATCCTTTTTGAGGTGTGGAGACCACACTGGAGAGCAGTACTGAAGTATTGGACGTACTAAACTCATGTACAATTGCGAGAACAATTCAGGGTTCCTGGGGCCCTTTGTTCGACCTATAAATCGGAGTACGCTGTTTGCCTTGTTTCAGGCTTCGTGATAGATTTGATGTGATGTGAATTCTAAGATCCTTAGATTACAAAGGGTTAACCAAGGAAATTTTTCTTTTAAACTCCCTAAAAAGAAGAAGTTACCCCTAATATGGCCAAAATTTTAACCGTTATCCGTAAAAGCCATCACCCCATTGAGACCCTCATGAAGCTCGTGCGTTAAGAAACTTTTGTATTAATGTTCCATGTCAGAAATGATCGACAAGACATGTTGGTGGTATCTTTGAATGGCAAATGTAAATTTAACCCTAAGCTTGTCCGTGATCTGTCACAGTTAATGACAACATTGACGCTTACGTTGTCTTTAAGAGCAGTTCCTTATTTTAATAATTTCTCTGAACTGAGAATGTGACCTAAAGTACTGAAATAGTTTGTGCCTTTTTTGTGTCCTTCATGATAGCATTAGAGAACGCCATGTATCCGACCATTAGATCAGGACTGGCGAAGTTTGATGTCAGTTTACCCGAGGAAGTCCAGAACTATGTCAGTTACTTATTAGATGAGTCAGCCAAACTTCACTTACGTAAGCAAGGTACTTAACATTGTTAAAATAAGATTGTATTGGCTTTGAAACATATGTCCAGTTATTCATATTCGGTCGTAAGATTATTGAGAAATACTGGGTTTGTGTAATAGTCAAGGGATTTTTTTTAAACTCAGATTTGTGATCTTGTGTTAGGTTTTTTTCATTCTCAGTAGACCTATCTTTATATAGTCATCAAATGACCTGCGCGGTCTAATGCCCGTTCTTAATAAGAAAAAAAAAAGATTTACAAATAAACCCCTTTATGAAGGCCGTGGGCGGTTGCGCTGGCAGGGGCATTTAAGCTGCAGGGCCAAGCCTGCGTCCGTGCGAGAAGAAAGTAGAATGAGAAGAGTGGCGTTCATGGAATAAAAATCTGATTGACTGAGTAAGATCAGGCCGGACCGACATGACCCTTCTACTCAGTCCATAAGTGCATAGAATTCTGATGTTAAAGCTGGTCGCTTATGTGGTGTAACCTAAGTACTTTATGATTCGTATTACCAAGAAAAAGACGTCTCTTTCAATTTATCAACACGAATAGTTCGTTGTTATGTTTGTAAAGTGAAAACAATTTTTTTCTCTTGTGTTCTTGAAAATGTTCTGAAACTTTAAAACCAGATTTGGAAAAAAACAAAAACAGCAACTTCTCTCGCAGGCATTTTCGACTGTAGAGTTTCAGATTACTAGTGGGGGAAAAGATAATATTGGAATAAAACTTTATGACAATGATTTACAACTTCGCAAAGGATTTGCTGACATTTTAAGACTTCTTGGAAAAGAAAAAGACATTTATTGTTCATACTGCCCTTTTCTTTTTTTTTTACAACTGGTTTCCTTTGACTTAGGATGATTCAAAAATAAGTCGAAACACTGAGACTCGAAATTATTTTTTTGTCCAATTTGCCGAGGTATTTTCTGTGCTTTGTCAGTTTTTAGACTAAAACAATGTAAAGGTAGTGTTTTTCGTTGTAATGTTTTCAAGTAAAAATTAATATTTCTTTTGTTTTAATCCTTTAGTACTCCAACCACCTCGTGCCTTAGAGGAATTACGAGAAGCAATGGATAAAGACGAATTGAAAACATTCCTTACTATTCACATCAGAGAAGGTGCATGGCAGGTGGTGCTGCTGTTTACGGATGAGCTCCCCAGAGTTAAACTACCACGGGACTGGTATACTATAATTCATAACGAGGACGAGGACGAGGACGAGGAGGTGTCTAATGAAGTGATATATTGTTCGAAGTCAGGCATATTGAATGGGTGGCCAACACATTACGACCCTGGTTTGGTAACACTGTGTAAAGCGATCACCAACAAGGACTGGAAAGTAACCAGATTAATTCTCTCTCTGAGTCGGATACCTGATGAAGGTTTGAAGAACTTGAGCACAGCGCTTACTCAGAGTGAGCTTTACAGCTTGACACTGTATGACATTGGTTTACAAAGTCAAGGATTAGAACACCTGTGTAACGCGCTAACCAGCGTTAACTGCAGATTAACAAACTTAAACGTCAGGGGTAATAAGTTGGGAGACGTAGGAATAATGCACTTGTGTAACGCGCTAACCAGCGTTGACTGTACATTAACCAGCTTAAACGTCAGTAACTGTGAGTTGGGAGACAACGGATTGAAACACTTGTGTGATGCACTTACCAGTAGTAACTGTGCGTTAACCAAATTAAAAGTCCGTTTTAATAGATTAGGAGATAGAGGAATAAAAGAATTGTCTGAAGTTTTAACCAGCGGATTCTGTACATTAACAAGTTTAGACGTAAGCGGCAATAAATTTGGAGATGAAGGAATCAAGCACCTGTGTAAGGCCTTGACTGATACGAAATGCAAACTAAGGAGCTTAGACTCCAGCGCAAATTGGAATGTAACAGATGATGGTAAAAAGTATTTGTCTCAAATGTTAACTGGCACTGACTGGGAAGATAAAGGAGCTCTACGACTTTCCCGTTCAACTACAAAGTGGACCAAGTAACAAGTCAGAGGCACAGAGCCCTGACAGGTTCCCTCTGTTACGTTTCGCTTGTCATGAAATAAATTCCATTTTTATAAATGACAACTTAGAGATTATTGTTCAAGCTGATTAATTAGATAACTGACCTTCTAGTCACTATCACTCGTTGAACGGAGTATTAAAAATGACCAGCAGTGAGGCAGTCGAAACATCGCGATCAAGAATTGAGGAATGACTCTGTATCATGACACAAACGATTATTAAACGTTCATTATTGATAGACGAATTTCTGTGTGTTAAAAAAAGACTATAAATGCAACTGCAATCTCGTATAACGGGTCTGTTGGCAATAATGTTATAACTTTTGTAACAAAAAGTTTTGAGCCACAGACAATTTAGCTGATTTTAGCTGATTTAGCTACAGGTGAATTAGCTGTAACAAGATGCCAAATAATATTGGATTATGTAGATAGAAATAAGAGAGATGGTAAGTTTTGGGAGAAAGAAAGAAATAGAGTGTCACGAGCGTGGGACAAACAAAAAATTCTGAGTCCCCATAGGGAATCGAACCTCAGACCTTCGGATTCAGCGCTCTGATGCGGTGAGCGAGGTCTATTACAAAGTTCATATGACACGCGTCCTGCATACTGCTAGGATCAGTAATGTCAATAGTGTCATGTTTGTAGATAGAACTAGGAGAGATGGTAAATTTTGACGTATAAATAAAGTAACAACATATTTTCTAAATTTTTACAGGCTTTCAATTTTTAGTTGGTAGACTCCTAGAGTAAAATGTTTAAGCTTAATTGAAATACTCTTGAACGAAAATATGAAGAGCAGAGTTATGTATTACTCTAAAATTACATAGTAATGGTAGGAAATTGTTTTACGGGTTACGTAGTCTTTATAATGTATAGTTTCTTTTTTTAATTTACTGGAATAGTTCAGAATGTAATGTAATCTAATTGTTAATGTGTAAGTTATTGTTCCAAAATTCCCAACTCTCAGTAGAAATCGTATTACATATATATTTTACATTTTTTAAAGGACTACACTAAAATGCGAAGTCTATTAATCAAGGACATTGAATATGTGCAAGGACTGCAGTTGAATTTAATAAATGTTGTTTTAATTTTTTGATCCAAGCTTTTACTGAATTTAGCTGGCAATTGAGCCTTAATGAAGGAAACACGGGCCAGAACACACGTATACGTTTTATTTAGGCGCGAAGGTTCTTCTTCTGTTTGTATCTGGTCCAGAATAAATACAACTCCCTCCCTGGTCAAAAGAAAAACTCTAAATGGCTCGCGCAAGAGCATGGTTCAGGGCTCTTTGTGGGGAAGTGTCGAGTAATTTCGGTAGGCAAGAACGCTCTTCCATAAAACCAAATGCTTCGACTTCCTTTCAATCACCTCGCAAATTTACTGACAATTCATCAGAAGCTAGGGAAACAGGTCTGTAGTTCTCCACTTTGACTTTGGCACCTTTCATATTGAGCGGGATAACACTGAGCTGTTTTCAAAAAACAAACAAATAAACAAACAACTACATTCCCGGCCTTCCGAATTATACCAAATTTGAATGAATTATTAAACAAAGTGCATAGGGGCGAGGCTAGCGAGTTACTGAAACATTTCAAGATTCTTGCCTGGATGAATGTCGTCGGGGCTGCAGCTTCTATAGGCATTTAATTCCAACTGGAGATTTTTAACTTCAACGCATTTGTTACCTGCACAAAATTCTTTGTCCTTTCAACTTTCAGAAAGTTAAAATATCGATTTTAACCATACGCAATGTTTTTTTTTGATCAGTCAGAGTACCTGTACCAACTTAGAATATCTCGGGGTCTTTTGTTTAACTTTCGCTGTCGCCTTCCTTTACAATCTTGACACTCAGTTGTTTAAGGTAATCTCAAAGTGCTTGGTTGCATGACATAATTTTGGTTCTATTATTCAAATTTTGGGAACGCGTCTGATGCATTTAAAGTCCTTCCTTTTATAATTAATATATTCTGGCTCAGAATTATTTTTCGCTTTTAACATTTGTTACAGGAAGTTAGATATAAAGGATGTCTTAAAGAAAAGTATTAGCTAGGGCAGGAAAATCAAAGGCTAATATCAAAAGTATATAAAAATTTAAGTTCTTACCTTTGTTTGAGATTCTTTTAAGAAACCTTGTGTAAAATTTTCTTTTCGATTCACCTCCATCGGCACAGGTTTTGCTGACATGAATGAAAGGCCTTGTGCTACAAAAACTTCTACTAAACACCACAACAGAGGCTTGTTTTGGGACAAGACAGTTTGTTAAACATATATATCCTACGTAAATAACACACTAGACTATTACATAACAAAGATATTGGACGAATACACTAAACCAACGGTACAGTAATCAAGAATAAATTACAAACACAAATGAGATTAAGATACAATTAAAACTGTCGATGGTGTGGGTGGGAGGGAAACTAAAACTTTTATTAATGCTAGAGATAAATTTGTTGCTTGCTTGCTTGCAAGATTACTAACAACACGTGCACAGATACCTAAGCGGTAATACTAAAGTAATTTCGCAATTAAAACGCGTTAGCGTGGTGAATAGCCATCGGCTCTACCCGGCAAGTCTTATGACTTATATGCTGAACGAATTGCTCAATCTTACAGAAAAGGGAAAGTACTAACTTGCAGCCTGCTTGTACCCAGTCCAGGCCTCTCAGCTATCGATGTCTAGATTCATATTAATAAAGATTAGTATTCACGTCAAATGTAAAAAGTAAACAAGAAAACAGTAACTCTTCGGGAAATTTCTGTAAAAGGCTCCTCTAAACTGAAAAAGGAAATCTTTTTTTTTATAGTTACGTCACTCGTTCTCTACGTCTTCCTTTCAACTAAAGCTTATGTACAATAGTCTCCGATAGTCTCCTCTTGTTACTTATCGCATGTCAATTAAAATTCCATTTTTATGAAGGATAGAATTATTGTTTAACGCTTGTTTATGGATTTGATAAATAATAGTTTGTTAGGTTATCACACGTTATTGACTCTCCATGAATTGTCGATCAAACTATGTATTCTAAACAACTCTTAGTCTTAGTGTGGCAGACAAAACGTCGCCATCAACAATTGATGGCATTGTTCGACAAACTATTTTTTAAACTTACATTGATCATCTGTTCATATTAAGTTCGTTTCAAGAAGTAGATTAAAATACAGTAGCTAGATAAACCTTCTTCTGGAGGCGTAGATGCAATTCCTTTTAAGAGGTCCGTAGGATGCAAAGAATATTGAATTACATTTTTATAAAGTCGTTAATGAATACGGACCTGAATTTTTTTCAGGTCCTATTTTCAACTACTAGTTCAGTAGTGTTCTTAGCTGCGAAGATCTCTTAAATTCGTTTCTTCACCGCAGTGCAAATATATGAATTTCATATATCTAAAATCATAGTTAATGAATATGTTCAGTTTCGAATTTTTTTCCGTAAACCAGTGACGTACAAAGACGATAAGAATATGTTTGTTTAATTTTAATAGCAGATGATATTTGTTTGAGTCGACTCAAAGATACTACGTAACATTTTAACTGAAGGTGCTCTCACTGGAGGGAGAATCAGATGTTATAAGAACTACTGTATTCTCTTTCAAATTAGTTTAATCAGACATAACCTAGGAAATCACCCAGGCAAAGTTTGTACCCTAACTTGGATTTTTTTTTTTAGCTCGGCTGATGTTTTTATCAAGAACAGAATTAAGTATATAATACTCTTCAAATTACTTTTGTACGAAATGATTTTACGGGTAAAGCAGTTTAGTAGCGCTTTGCTTTTGCATAATTATGAAAAGTTATCTCTTATTTTTTCATGTATATTATAAATACGTGATCACATGATTTTCTCGTGGAATTTGGAATAAATAAACACTTGCTAATTTTTTCAAAGACCACAAATTGCACTCGCCCTTCGGGTTCGTGCAATTTTGTTAGTCCTTGAAAAAAGTTACTCGTGCTTATCTATTCCAAGTTTGACTCGAAATCGTGTGATTACCTATACTAATAGAATAGGTAGGAATGTAATGTAGATGTTTTATAATTAATAAAATGAGAAATTGTTGTCTTAAAAGTTACAACAAAACATGTAGCTTACAAATATATTTTATGATTTTTAGATATGAAAACAAAAGTTTTTAAGGCTGGAGATTTTGTAATTTGATACTTTTTACTTGTAACACGTTTTGCTTCGGACCAAAAATTTGATTCGGACCAATTGAAAATCAAGCTGTGGGCTGGCAGGGGTACTTATCTACATATGCTATAGGGATATGTGCCGCCAAAAAGGACGTGTCTTAAAAAATTTTATGTCTGAAAACAGCTACAGAATGGAACCACCACGATCTTAAATTGAGTTTGGCAAGGAAACTGCGAGAGCGAATGAACACATTTTCCTTCAACTCAAAATGAATGAAAGAGAAAGAGGAGAAATCAAAGTCCGCCATTTCAGCATAATTTTCCAGGTCAATTTTACTTGCCAATTCTTGACCTCCGCATTGATACAAAGCTCAATCCATTTTAGACACCACTTGTCAAACTCTTATTTAAGGCGTATAAGTTATTACGGGACCAGTCATTCGCCTGGGGGTGGGTGGGGGGTAGGGAATTTTGGGAATTACATGGTTTCTAGGGGGAGTGGAGGGGGGGTCAGTCGTTACTAACCGAATAGAAAGTGGGGAATATAGCGAATTGACTACCAATAAAGTGATTGTGCGTGTGCGCGGTTGGGGGTGGGGTGGGGTACATCAGAATATTACAGAGCCTTAGGGGGGACCAGGTAAATTTTATTGTCACACAACCAAATTCCTCCGACCCCACTAAAGGTAGTGAATAATGACCAGTCCCAAAGACTCGTGTAGATTGATAACTGTTCAGCAGGTCAGAGAGTCAAAGCTCCATCAAAGAAAAGAGACTACATGTTGGAGAGCTCTTGTTTACCAGCGACTCTGTCCTGGTTGTTACTGATACTGATAACATTAAGCAAATTGTAGTTCACCAAGTGATCTGCTGTAACTGTCGGATTAAAATCTGATGCCTCAAAATCAGGACTTCTGTAAAACCCACAGGGTTGAACCCTTCTGACCAGTCCAACTAGTCTAATCCCAGGGTCTTCCATTCACCTGAAATAATGATCAGTAGAGAAAACCACAAAGCACCAAGTCTGTTATATACTTGAGCATGTCACTATTATCAATTCATCAAATCCCGAAGTTGAGAGAAGAGTTGATTTAGCGGCTAAAACCCTTAACGCATTGCAAAAATGACTCTGGTCTCATCAAGACATCAGAATAGCTTCTAAGATCAAATTGGATCTATTACTGTTGTTCCCCATCTCTGCTTCATTTAACATAAACAGTGGCATGGTACTGACCTGGAGGTATCTCAGAAGGCCAACCAGGATAAAAATTTGGTACGAGCAGAATCTCAAACCACATCACACAGCAAATAGTTTCGTTACACTGATTTAAGTGATATAATATAAGTGATATAATATAAGTGATATAAACTCTGTTGAAAAGATTTGCTAAAGCGTTACACGGAGAATGCAGTCACGAATGACCGCACTTGAGGGAGTAATGTCAGCACGTGTAGAAGTAAATTGTACTTTATTGCGTAAAGGAATGTGAGGAAAAGAACTCTACCAAGAAAGGTCTGAAAACAAGAATTAAACTTAGAAGAGCTCATATCTTACTAGAACTATAAGGCCAGGATTCAAAGATCTGATCAGAACACACCTATTTCGAATTTCGAAAAGTAACTCCTTCTTTGGAGAGGGATAGAAACACCTGAGCGCTTCGAAGGTCCTCTGAAAGGCCCAGTTCTTGCTTGGTGTCCGTTCCACGGCATCGTGCTTAGACTGCCTTGGCGGTAAAATGGGTGTTGTTCAGAAACCCTTGTGCCATAGACTAGGTATCTTTACAATCGTGTAGAAGTCTTTGTTTTCAATATTTTCTTTTTGTATTTCGCCACATTCGTTTTCCATGAAACTCGTACGTTCTTGGTCTCTGTACTCAAATCAGTATGTTTTACAGGAAATGGATCCAGATTTTTTTCTCAGGAGAGGTGCACCACCGATGATGACGTATCTGACAGGTGCGTCCAAGACAAGCTTTCTTTACACACGTGAAGAATTTTTTGTTTTCTTCGGCTCTTTTTAACTCGTGGATACGCGATAGCGTAGAAACGAGCTGTTATGGGCACTTTGGGATATGCAAATTGGCGTGGACTCTTTGTATTTGGTCTTAATTAGTCGGCTCCGAACTCGAGACTCGAGATCTATCCTTCCGAAGAAGTCCGAAGCCCTGGCGCCATTGTGATTGTATCGATCGTTGCGATTTTTATGGTCTTTACACGGCAGTTTCGACATTTACTGAATTGAAATGGACTTCGAATGTTTCACATTAGTGCTATGATCAACTTAAAGAAGATTCATGGTAAAAAAAGTTGTTACCGTATTTTAATATTTAATAAACGGCTCCCATTCCATTCCTGTCTTTCCCAAAAGCGAACAAGGATGGGGTCTATAATTGGCCACAACATAAGCTAAAATACGGCAGAGGTTCTGAGAAGACCATTAGTTGCACATGTCCAGCAAAAAATGAACCATGTACCCCCCCAAGGGGTTCCATTGTATACTCAAGTACTATAATTTCTACACTTGTAATGGTTCTACTTTCTATCTTTTTGTTAACACCTTAGTTTACTGATAGCAACTTTACAAGTATGCATCTCTTTAATACTTTATCCACGAGTTGGCCATAGGCGCCCTTTGATTTCGCATTATGTACATAATGATTGATCTAGTGGGAGGGCCGGACGGGATAATATTTGGCTCGAGGTCATGACGTATGGAGCGAGCGCTTTGCTATGAAACTCGTGGGTTTTTGCTTGCTGTACACAGATAAGTATGTTTAGCGGCCTACCAAAATTTTGTGATTGTTTTCTTCTCTAATGGTTCTCGTGTAAGATTTCCATATATTTACAGTCGCGTGAATCTCCACGTGAACAGAAAGTGACATGAGCGGTCGTATACATGACATTATCTCGAGCCGCTGAAGAGCTAACCCTGATCTATGGGCTCAACTTCCGTGATACCTTGGCATTTAGTTAATTGAGCCACGAACGTTCGATCCTGTGCTAAATGGAGTGAAACTTGTATGTTCTTTACGAATTTACTTTGAATGTGCTATTTAGTAGAGTGAAACTTATCGATTAGTGGAATAGATTAGAACAATATCGACAATGGCGTGTTCGAGCTCATCTACGGCTGCCAGTAGCGAAGTAGAGAAGAAAGAACAGAGGCTTATTGATGCCATGTTTCTCTGTGACGAGTGGAAATCTTCGAAAGGTGGATTATCAACTTTCAATCGTGAGTTAGCTATTAATTTGGCAGAGACAACGAGTGGTAGCATGAGAATCCACTGCTACGTCTCGAGAAGCGATGATCAGGACAGAGAAGATGCTGAACAACATGGAGTGAATTTGATCACCGCTCAGACTGTTCCTGGATCACGAGATCCCCTGGATTGGTTGAAAATTCCACCTCCAGAGCTTCCGAATCCGCATATTGTGATTGGTCATGGCAGAAAACTAGGAACTCCAGCATGCCATATTGTACGAGCTGCAAGATGTACATGGATTCAGTTCGTCCACGTCTTCTGCGAGGATCTTGGAAAGTTTAAAGAAACTACTGCCACGGCTGTTACAGATACGATCGAGGAGAACGAGGAGAAGCACAAGATGGAAATTGAGTTGTGTAAAGCAGCGGATGCAGTTGTCGCTGTCGGCTCACGTCTTCAACGGAAGTACAGCAGAAGTCTACCAAATGTGAAAGTGGAGATCATCACCCCCGGAATTATTGAAAAGTTTTGCAACGAATCGGTAGAATCAGGAGAACATGCTGGTTTATTATCGAGTGTGTTGCATGCCTTCACGTCTTACATGTTCATGAAGACATTCAACGTCTTCATGTTCGGCCGAGCAACCTTTGAAGACCTTACGTTAAAGGGTTATGATATAGTAGCAAATGCCATAGGTTCCCTTGGAGAGGAATTTGAGCTCACATTTGTGGGCTCTTCTCCTGGTGAGCACCGTAACATAGAGCAATGGTTTCTCCAGAACACATGCATCAAACGCAAGCAGATAACGATTCGTGGTTATTGCACCGAACAGGATGAACTGAAAGGAATGTTTCACCAATCAGACCTGGTTGCTCTTCCTTCACGTACTGAAGGATTTGGATTAGTTGGCCTTGAGGCCGTTTCTGCTGGTGTTCCAGTTCTTGTCTCAGGTGAATCTGGCATAGCTGAGGCTTTGCAAAAAGTAGAAGGTGGAAAAAAAGTCATTGTTGGATTAGATGAAAGTAAAGATGCATGGGCACGAAGGATCAGAGAGATGTATGAAGAAAGCGCGGAAGAGAGAGAAGCCAATGCTGTGAAGCTTCGTGAGAACTACAGGAAGGTTTACTCTTGGAAAGCAGAATGTGAGAAGTTTAAAGGGCTGATTGAGACAGTAGTGGAAAATGGTATGTTCAATGAGTTTATCTTTGCTTCAATTTTAGGTACAGGTGATGTTGCTTTAACCTGCTATATGTGGAAATATAGAAACCTTATGTAAAAGACTAAATGCAGGTACATATAGATAGCACAGCAAGATTGTATGATTTATATATTTATAAAGATGTTTTGATATGGTTAAACCAGCAGTACAAGTGCCCTTTCACTCACTGTTAACTTTTTCCCACTTTCTTCCATCCTTGCAGGTATGAAATTTTTTTGTCATGTTACAAACATTTTGTGTACTGGGTACTATTCAATTGGAAGATTGCTGTGTGATTTCAAGTAACCTCCATTTCACCTTGGTGGGGGGAGGGTACGGCTACATGTAGGTTAGACCTCAGGTTTTGGGAGAAGGAACACTGGTTTAGAAGCCCTCTTATAATGAGGAGCTGCAAGCAGACTATCATCCAATATGTTTGAAGTTTAATCTGATATTAATGGTTTCAAGTGGATTTGAAGTACAATTTTTACTTAGACACTCTGCTCAAAATCAACAGATCAAAAATTAAACATCAAGGTTGACGTGGAACACATGAAACTTGCAGATCATGACGCTTACAGTACAGCTTCAGTATCAGCACTGGAGCCAGCAGGATATCAGAAGGCATCCACAGCTTCAGGCACAAAGAGAAAAAGACAATCTGATACAGATTTAGACAATCTCCAACCACTTGAAAAGAAAGTCCTGTGCTTAATTGCAATGAATTACCTTGATACTACACCGCCACAGAGCAGGGATGAACGCAGTGAGTTTCAGAAATACTTGCAAGAAATGAAGGTCCTCATTACAGGTGTTTCTGTAGGAAGTTTAGTAATAACAGTAAAGTTTGATTTTCTCAAGAGCTTGGAGAAATTATGGGAACATTACTCATGTAGCCACCTGGATAAGATGGTTCAAGATTGTTTTGTGACTGAAAAGATTTTGAAGGAACTGAACCTGGCAGAACTGAAGCTGAAAACAACAATGGAAGTAGAAGAGTACAAAGCATACAAACTGTACTTTCTTGGGAAGGATGCACTCAGAGGTCAGTTGAAAGAAAGAAAAAGGCTTGGTCCTGTGGAAAAATGTTTTGAAATGATTAAAAACATAACGCATCACTCATTCAACATAGTGCACTATAGGGTTAATGCACATGTAGAGAGAGGTCCAGGTTTTGATCAAGATAGAACCAATTGTCTTATCACTAAGCTTGTGCTGACTACGTGTATGTAAGCCATGACAATCTGCAGTGAGGGGATTTGTTTTCAAGACATTTCTTATAATAACCTTTCTGTCTGGTTATATTTGTCCTAGGTCCAAGAATTATAAATAAAATAAAATAAGCTATAATATAGATTGGCAAGATTTTTGTTGGAGGAGCTATACAAGAAAATGTTACTCTTATTTGTGTGTGGGGTTTTTATAAAAAATGATTTGAAGTGTGTTTTTTGGTTTTAAATGTCAGTATTGAATGATTACCTCATTATTTGTTTTCTTTTAAATCTGATTTTAGGTGTTTTATCTTCTGGATTCCACTCCACAAGTTCAACTAGCCAAAGTCCACAAAAACAAGAAGAGCTGAAAAAACAGAAACAGAAGACAAAGAATGTTGAGACAGAGAAAGTGAAAGGTGAAAACAAAATTAACCCTCTAAGTCTCAAGATTTCATCAGTAATTCTCCTTACTGTCTGCCATACAGGTCGTGTGACGTTAGTTTGGGGAATTTGGTATTGGATCAACTTATTATCACCTTATTGAAATTTTTTTTATTCCCGTCACTTGTGTGCTTGATACTGTATAGATACTGTAAGCAGAAATTCTGTCTTGGTCACACATGGAAGTTGAAGGGTTAAAAGAGGTATTAAGTTATCATGGAAAGTTGTTGTGAACAGTAGCAACAATTTTTTATTGTGTAGTTCCAGAAAATATCCATACCCACCACGGAGGGAATTTCATATAGGACCCCCCCACCCCTTCGGATTTTCCATTTTGGGGTAGCAGTGGTAGCCCCCCCACCCCTCTGGAATTTCCAAAGAATTTTCTACCACCCCCTATACCCCCTGGAAATATATTTTTTCTCATAGCAAACAACAAACAAGAGGGACGTGTGATTTTGTCGCGTGTATATTCGAGAGATGGCGTACACGCGCAAGGTAAACGTCGCTAACTAGCTTAAACTTAACGTTTGCTTTATTTTTAAATACAATACTTATCCTTAAACATTTAACACAGTATTTTCAGTACACGAAAGGAGAAAAAAACAGTACAAGTCGCAACAAAACACTTTTGAACTGTTAAGTTTGTACAATGTACTGAGAAAATTGCGTGCACTTGAAATGGAAACGTTCGAAATCACATTAAGCAACGTAAATTTGTACAAAATTGTGTCATAAATAAGAGAGCAAAAGAGAAAACCGAGTCAGCAGTAAGTTATTTTGAACTCGTCTTTCCAAATTCCAGCCTCTAATGTAAAATTTCTTCACACAAGTATTGATTCTTGTTGACAGCGGGTCGATAATTTCGTCCGATTGTGCATAAACAAACCTTGGCTAGTTACCAGTCCCACGCGCATATATACAAAGCCCTGGATCCTAATGTTTCTCAATGTTACTATCAACTGTTTTCGACTACGGTACGACTGTACTTATCATTCATTGTAACATCGCAAGCAAGTAAGCCATAAAGAAATCGTCAAGTCTCCTACACATTATGATGCAACAGAATTAAGCTCAGTGCAGATCAAAATTAAGAGATGGCTGGAGTCAATAAGGGTTAGCGTATGGTAAATTTATGCGAAACTTTGCGAGACGGCGAGACCAGTGTTTTTTTTTTTTTTGCGAGACCGAAACTTTTTGAGTGTTTAATTGCGAGACCAATGTTAAGACCCCAAAACGGCTTTGCAAACAATTCAAGACTGTGAGACGTTTTGAGTCTTTTGAACCGCTCAAAAAACGAGACTGCAGGATCGATCTGTGAGATTTAACTTAAATTTTAAAAAAACAGCATCAGACAGTTATTTGTAAATTTTACGAACGCGAAACGTGTTATGACCGAGGAAAATCCCTAGGTAACCACTCGTGTTGGTTGTAATCTTTGGAGACTGGTAACGAGTAATGGCGGCTCCGTTCGAAAAACAAAGTGATTCTCTTCTTTATTTGATGTTATTTATGTTCCAAAGCGCTACAAGGATAAAAGAAAACTTTCTTTGGCTGCAGAACTGTTAGAAGCATCGTAATTTAACAACTTAAACTTCAGAACGTCCCACTAAAGTAGGTAAGAGGCGCCAATTGACGAAAGTCGATCGACTTCCTACCCTCTGGACGAAAATTTCGCCTCTTACCCCCCGTCCCCTCAGGAATTTCCTGGGACTTTGACCCCCCCCCACCCCTCTGGAATTTCCAATTCCCTCCGTGGTGGGGGTATGGATATTTTCTGGAACTACACATTTGACAAAACTTTGAAGAATTATCTCAATGCAGTAATGTGGCATTAGTATTATTTTAAAGAGTACAACCTATGAGAAACAACATACAGCATATCTGAAGAGAGGCTGTGAATGCTAATCTCCCCCTGTACTTTGCTTCACCCCTCAATTGTTTTCTTTCTTAACATATGAAATAAAGGTTCTAACGTGGCCTCTTAAACTTGAAAGAGAGCCAGCCGCAAGCAGGAAATCATCATGTTCACACCCAATTGAAGAAGCGTTTCTTTATTTTCCTTTATCATGATGTTGCTGTATAGTGTGAGAGTCAGGATTTTGGATGAAGTATTTAAGTGTCTGTTAAAAAGAGAGAAAAAACAAGTGAAATGTCATGCTGGGGGGGGGGGGGGAGCAAGAAAGTGTCTGCATCTCTGTAATAGAGAGAGTCCATAATAGAGAGTCTATTTCAGTCCTTTTTCTACATGTTTCCCCAGGGGCTGGCGCTTGTCTGCAGTGGGGAGGTGTCTGTAGGGCATGAGTCAACTGTAGATTAATCCAAATTTGGCATTGTCTCATTCTCTACTTTAGCTAAAGATGGTAATGAGTCCCCATGTGGTAAAAATACATAATGGTTGTTTTCAACAATGTTCATATTGTTATAATGGAGAACTGACATTATTTTACTTTAACATGACTATAATTTGCTGTTTGCATAGGTATACCTGTTGTTATCTTTTCTGTGTAAAGTTAGACACTGAATTTTGAAAATCTCTGTATACCTTTGCTCCCAGGTTCTTCACCTCCCCCTCTTCTCTCCACCACTGATCTTGAAGAAAAGATAGGAAAAGTATGTAAGGACATTAAGATGCTGAGAATGGAAGGTGAATAGAAAAATTCATGTCATCAGTTTTAGGGAGAAACTGATCCAAGAATGCTAATGACTGTCCATAAAGTTTGCTGAGGTTTAGAAATGAGCTAAAATAGTAAAAGGTGAAAACCAAACATTTTGGTCACTAGGTCATCATAATGACCTAGTGTCAAAATGTTTGGTTTTTAATTTTTTAAAATATTTTAGCCATGTAAATAGCTTGATGCTGTTAAATGTTCTTCATATTTTTTCTAGTTATTACTCTCAAGAGTATTCCCTTTATGAGATATGAACCTTTTTCTGTCCTAAGTTTCACCCAAGACTACTGTTTAATGCTCTCGGCTATTAGTTAGTAAGTTTTCTGTCTTTACTTTCATCCAAGAATGCTGTGAAATGCTCTCAGCTGTTATTCTGTGGCTTAGTTTTATTATGGAACATATCTTCTCTTCACTTTTGCCTCTTAATTCATAACTTCAGTCAAAGTTATCATTAAATTGGCTGTGGCATATGATATTGAAGCAATAGTTATAGATAGCTAATTTAACAATGATGTAATGGAAAACTATCACCATTGTTGCTTTACTTGACCTCAATACATATTAGTATGCCTTCACTTTTTATATCAGATGAGGCACTAAGTGCTAAATATATTTCTGTGTACCTTTGCTCTCAGATAGTTTTCCTGTCCTTAAATTTTCATCCATTGATCTTGAGAAAAAACTAGCTGAACTAAGCATGAAGCTTCAGAGGCTCAGAATGGAAGGTGAATATAAAATGTTTATTGATTCATTATCAGTGAGAAATAAATCCAAGAATGCCGTTAAAGGCTTCCACCCCCGTATCGAATTATCACTTTTGAAGGAAAATTATTCCTTATTTAAAATAATCTGTTATCTGAGTTTATTACTATTGATGAATGCTTCCACTTCTTGTTCAAATCATTCATTTTCATGAGAAATTATTCCTTAGTAAAGACAGTCCCTCTTCCTTTATAATTATTAAGTGAGATAGCTATCTAATACTTTCAGTGCTTCACATGACCCCAACATAATGTCCGGTGTTAGTCAAATGTCTGTTTTGACCAGTTATGTAAGGTAAGGCACTGAATGCTAATTACAATGTATCCTTCTGTTTACCTTTCCTTTCAGGTACTCTGCCTCCCCCTGAACTCTTTACTGCTGATCTTGAAGAAGAACTAAAACAACTACGTATGGAACTTATCAGGCAAAGAATGAAAGGTGAGTGTGTATTGACTCCACTGAACAGGGCAAAAGAAATATGAAAGTGATGCACTAGTATTTTAGGCTTGATTTTTAAGTAACAAGCTGAAAGGCGAAACACTTTCTTTTAGTTTTTTATATAGAACTCCTAGTTATATTATTTTCTCAAATACCTAAGCCCTGCATGCAACTTCTAAAACATCTGCAACTGCACATTTAATAATGTGTATTTACTCTTTATTTAAGAAAACCCCTCCTCATATAATTCTATCAACCAAGTATGGAGTTTAAAAATTCTTTAAACCATTTTGTTGTTTACTTCTTCTCTCAGGTGAAGAACTTAAAAGACAAGGAGAGAAAGGTGAGTAAAACATGTGTATTAGCTCCGTTGAACAAGGCAAAAGAAATATGGAAAGTGATGCAAGGAGATGGTTGTACAAGTATTTTAGAATTGATTTTTTAAGTAACAAGCTGAAAGGTTTTAGTTTGTCATATAGGACTGCAAATTATATAATCTTTTCTCAAATATCTACGCCCTGCTTGCAACTTGCAAAACATTGCTCATTATATGTTGAAGCATTGAATAATGCGTATTTACTCTCTATTCATGGTAACCCCACCTCAAATAATGCTATCAGCCAAGTATGGAGTTTCAAGATTCTTTACACCATTTTGTTGTTTACTTCTTCTCTCAGGTGAAGAACTTAAGAGACAAGGAGAGAAAGGTGAGTGAAACATGCGTATTGGCTCCGTTGAACAGGGCAAAAGAAATATGGAAAGTAATTCAAGGAGATGGTTGCACTAGTATTTTAGGCTTGAGTTTTTACGTATCAAGCTGAAAGGTGTAACACTTTATTTGAGTTTTTTACATAATTCTCCTAATTGCATTATTTTCTCTCAAATATATCAGCCCTGCATGCAACTTGCAAAAAATCTGCGCTGCTCATTACATGTTGAAGCATTGTATACTGTCTATTTACTCCATATTTAAGATAACCCCTCCTCTTATATAATGCATTAACCAAGAATGGTGTTTAAAAATTCTATAAACCATATTGCTGTTTCCTTCTTCTCCCAGGTAGTTCACCTCCCCCTGTTTCCACTGCTGAAGTAGAACTACAGGAACTACTCGAGAAACTTCAGAAAGGGAGGATGGAAGGTAAATAAATAATGCACATGTAGAGAGAAAGTAATTTTACCAGAGTGGTATTTTAACACGTCCACTTCATTATCGAAGTATTTTTTCCTTCGGAACTCCTGCACATGCAGCCTTCTACTGCAGTAACTATTAACAATTTCAATGCTCATTGGAGGCCTAAGACATCAGTTACATTACTCCATTGGCACCTACATTTAGCACTTAGATGGAGACTGTCTTTACGAGTGGTAAATCCTGGCAACCCAGTCATTAGCTGTTGCACTAGAATATAAAAATAGTGAACAAAAAGAAAAAAAAGCTGGCAAAAGTGAATTTATTCTGAGTGCGTGTTAAAAATAACTTGCCTCTTAGGATAAGCTCATCCTGGTCTTAAAAACTTTCAAATTTTGCTACAAATGCAAAATTACAGATACTGTTTCATGATACCTGCAGTTTTGTGCTGCACGTGTGCAGTACTTGGGATTTGCACGCGCATCAAATGCGTAGTACTGTAGTGAATACTGGATACAAATCTAGCATTTTATTAGAGGGCTTAGGTATTTTATAGTTGTATCCATTTACAGCCTGGGTGTGTTAGGGCCCTGCAACCGTCATATTGTGCTCTAATTTAGAACACAATGTACACGTGCAGTTTGTAACTGGAATTTTGTTTGTCGAACGTTGAGGAGCCTTTAAGTAAGCCACCTCAGAGTTACGATAACAACACCACGCTACTAGACGTTATTATCTTTACCATATTGATACTTCAACGGTACAGTCATGAAGCTCTAGTGCATATCTGTGAACTGCAGTACATGTAGGAGGGTCTCAATGGGGCTAACCGTTAACCGTAGGATGGCAGAAAAATTTCGCCGTTAGGAGTAAAAATTGACAAATTTCAACCGCTTGTCTTAAAAGAGACCAACCGAAGATACATTTCTGTTGACTCCTCAACAAAAAGAAATTAACCGTTAGCCCTAATATGGCCAGAATTTTAACCGTTAGCCGTAAAAGCAATCACCCCACTGAGACCCTCACTTAACTCATAGAACTTTTGAATTAATGTTCCATGTCAGAAATGATCGACAAGACATGTTGGTGGTATTTTTGAATGGTAAATGTAAATTTAACCTTAAACTTGTCCATGTTACAGTTAATGACAGTTAATGACAACATTGACGCTTACGTTGTCGTTAAGAGCAGTGCCTTATTTCAATAAATTTTCTGAACTGAGAAGGTGGCCCAAAGTTCTGAAATAGTTTGTGTCTTTTTGTGTCCTTCATGATAGCATTAGAGAACGCCATGTATCCGACCATTAGATCAGGACTGGCGAAGTTTGATGTCAGTTTACCCGAGGAACTCCGGAGCTATGTCGGCTACTTGTTTAAAGAGTCAGCCAAACTTGGCTTACGCAGGCAAGGTACTTAACATTGTTAAAATAAGCTTGTATAAATATGTCCAGTTATCTATATTCTGTCGTAAGATTATTGAGAAATGCTGGGTTTGTGTAATAGTAAAAGGATTTTTTTTTACCCTGAGTTGCTATTTCGTGTTGAGTTTGTTCGCGCTCTAATGCCCGTTCTTAATAAAGAAAAAAAATTTAAATAAACTCCTTTATGAGGGCCGTGCGCAGTTGCGCGAGCAGGGGCATTAAAAGCTGCACGTCTAAGCGTGCAGCCACGCGAGAAGAAAGTAGAATGAGAAGAACGGCGGTCATGGAATAAAAATCTGATTGACTGAATAAGATCAAGCTGGACCGACATGACCCTTCTACTCAGTAAGTGCATAGAATGCTGATGTTAATGCTGGTCGCTTATGTGGTGTAACTGAAGTACTTTAGGATCGTATTTCCAAGAAAAAAAACGTTTCTTTCAATTTATCAAAGCTAATATTTCGTTGTAACGTTTGCAAAGTGAAACCAAATTTTTTTTCTTGTGATTTTGAAAATTTTCTGAAACTTTAAAACCAGATTTGGAAAAAAAAACCAATAACAGCAACATCTCTGACAAGCATTTTGGACCATAGCCTTTTTTTAGATTATCAGTGAGGGTAAAGAATATATTGGAATAAAACTTTATGACAATGATTTACAACTTCGCAAATGATTTGCTAAAATTTTGAGACTTCTTGGAAAAGAGAAAAGAGAAAAAAGGCCTAGCTTAATGTTTTTGGTATCGCACGACAATTGTTATTCATACTGTCCGTCTCCTTGTTTTACGTACTGGTTTCCTTTGACTTGGAATGATTCAAAAATAAGTCGAAACACTAAAACTCAATCCTTTTTGTTTCCAACTTGCGGACTTATTTTTTGTGGTTAGCCAGTTTGAGACAAATGAAATTGTAAAGGCTGTTTTTTTCGGTGTATTGTTTTCAATTAAAATATTAATATTTCTTTTGTTTTAATCCTTTAGTACTCCAATCACCTCGTGCCTTGGAGGAATTACGAGAAGCAATGGATAAAGACGAATTGAAGTCATTCCTTATTATTCACATCAGAGAAGGTGCATCGCAAGTCGTGCTGCTGTTTTTGAATGAGCTACCGACATGTAAACTACCGCTGGAATGGTATCCTGGAGTGAGGAGTCATGAGGTGTGGGACGAGGACGAGGACGAGGACGAGGACGAGGACGAGGACGAGGAGATTCGTATACCGTTGTACAGTTCGACGTCAGGCATATTGAAGGCGTGGCTAACAGAGTACGACCCTGGTTTGGTAACACTGTGTAAAGTGATCATCAAGGGGGACTGGAAAGTAACCAGATTAACCCTCTCCAGCAGTCGGATATCTGATGAAGGTTTCAAGAACTTGAGCACCGCGCTTACTCAGAGTGAACTATACAGCTTGACACTGTATGGCATTGGTTTACAAAGTCAAGGATTAGAACACCTGTGTGAAGCGCTGATTAGTAGTAACTGCCATTTAAACTGCTTAAACGTCAGTTACAACAGGTTAGGAGACGAAGGAATCATGCGCTTGTGTAACGCGCTAACCAGCGTTAACTGTAGATTAACAAGCTTAAACGTCAGTTGGAGTGGGTTGGGCGACAAAGGAATCGTGTTCCTGTGTAACGCACTAACCAGCGTTAACTGTACATTAACCAGCTTAAACGTCAGTGGCAATAGGTTAGGAGACAAAGGAATCATGCACTTGTGTAACGCGCTAACCAGCGTTTACTGCAGATTAACAAGCTTAAACGTCAGTAACATTCAGTTGGGAGACAACGGATTCAAACACTTGTGTGATGCACTTATCAGCAGTAACTGTGTGTTAACCAAATTGAAAGTCGATCGTAATGGATTAGGAGATGAAGGATTAAAGGAATTGTCTGAAGTTTTAACAAACAGATTCTGTTCAATAAGAAGCTTAGAAATATGCAACAACGAATTTGGAGATGAAGGAATCATGCATTTGTGTAAGGCCTTGACTGATACCAAATGCAAACTAAGGAGCTTAGACTTCCACGGAAATTGGAATGTAACAGATGAAGGCGAAGAGTATTTGTCTCAAATGTTAACTGGTACTGATTGGGAAATTAGAGGAGCTCTACGACTTTCCCGTTGAACTACAAAATGGACCAAGTCAGGGCACAGAGCCCTGACAGGTTCCTTCTGTTACGTTTCGCTTGTCATGAAATAAATTCCATCTATGTAAATGACAACTTAACGATTATTGTTCAAGCTGATTAATTAGATAACTGACTTTCTAGTCACTATCACTTGTTAAACAGAGTATTAAAAATAACCAGCAGTGAGGCAGTCGAAACATCGCGATCAAGAATTGAGAAATGACTCGGTATCATGACACAAACGATTGTTAAACGTTCATTATTCCATGGACGAATTTCTCTGTGTTACCAAGGAGACTATAAATGCAACTGCAATTTCGTATGACGGAGATGTTGGCAATAATGTTATAACTTTTGTAACAAAAAGTTTTAACTATAGGCAATTGATTATAGTGGTGATTTAGCCGTAATAAGATTCCACAAATATTGAATCATATTTTGATAATGTAGTTAATGAATATCGTTGTCTTCTAAAAGAAAACTTTTAAAAAGTCTACATGAACTTGTGACGTGTAAATAAAGTAACAACATATTTTCTCAATTTTTATGGGCTTTCATATTTTTAGTTGATAGACTCCAAGAGTATAATGTTTAAGCTTAATTGAAATACAAAAAGGAATGTTTTGTTCTGCCTTGCTCGTTTTCAAAGCCAAATATAGGCATTGTACAACCAATTGTATTCTTGTTCAAAGGAGTTTATTTGGCCTTTGCCTAGTAAGTCATTTGCGTATAGCTTGGACTATAACTCGTTTTTTTTTTCATCTTAGCTGATTATTTTATGAAGAGCAGAGTTATGTATTACTCTCAAAATTACATAGTAATGGTAGGAAATTGTTTTACGGGTTACGTAGTCTTTATAATGTATAATCTCTTTTTCAATTTACTAGAATAGTTCAGAATGTAATGTAATCTAATTGATGATGTGTAAGTTATTGTTCCAAAATTCTCAACTCCCAGTAGAAATCATATTTTACATATATATTTTATATTTTTTAAAGGACTACAATAAACTGTGAAGTCTATTAACCAAGGACATTGAATATGTGCAAAGACTGCATTTGAATTTAAGAAAAATATTGTTATAATTTTTCGATCCTAGCTTTTACGGAATCTAGCTGGCAATAGAGTCTTAATGAATGGAACACTGGATCACACGTATCCGTTTTATTTGGGCACGAAGGTTCTTTGTCTGTTTGTATCTTGTCCAGAATAAATTTAAGTAACTCCCTCCCTGATCAAATAGAAGCTAATAGATTCTAGTTCAGGGCTCCTTGTGGGAAACTGTCGTATGAAGTTTCTGTAGGCAGGAACGCTCTTCCATAAAAACAACTGCTTGGACTTAGCTTTGGTCTTCTTTTCAATCTTCTCGCAAATTTACTAACAACAGAAACTGGGGAAACGGACCTGTAGCTCTCCACTTTAATTTTGGCACCTTCCACATAAAGCGGAGTAACTCTGAGCTGTGTAAAAAATTAACAAACAAGTAAGCAGCTACATTCCCGGCCTTCGAAATTTTACAAAATTTGAATAAATTATTAAACAAAGAGCGCAGGGGCGAGGCTAGTGATGAGTTACTGCAACACTACAAGATTCTTGGAAAAAACGTCGTCGGGGCTGCAGCTTCTAGAGGCATTTAATTCCAACAGGAGATTTTTAACTTCATGCGTTTGATACCTGCGCGAAATTCTTTGTCCTATCAACTTTCAGGAAGTTAGAAAGACTAGTCAAATTTTCCAATACGAAATATTGATTTAAACAATCCGCAATGTTTTTTTTTGATCAAACAGAGTATCTTTACCAACTTAGTATCTCATGGTCGTTTGTTCAATTTTAGCTGTCGCCCTCCTTTGCAATCTTGACACTCAGTTGTTTAAGGTAATCTAAAAGCGCCTTGTCGCATGACTTAATTTTTGTTCTATTATTCAAATGTTGGGAACGCGTTGAATGCATTTAAAGTCCTTGCTGAAATAACTAATATATTCTAGCTCAGTATTTTTTTTTTTGTTCTTAATTTCTGTTACAGGAAGTTAGACTTAAAACATGTCTTAAAGGATATTATCAGCCAGGACAGGAAACTTGAAACGCTTATCTCAACAGTATATTAAAATTAAAGTTCCTACCTTTGTTAAAGATTCTAATGAGCAACCTTTTATAAAGGTTTTTATTCGATTCACCTCCGTTGCCAAGGGTTTTGCCGACATAAATGAAAGGTTTTGTGCTAGAAACCTCCAGTTAAACAATTTCAAGTAAACAATGACAGTAACTCTTTGGGAAATGCCTGTAAAAGGCCCTTCTAAACCAAGAAGGGTAATTCATTTTTATTGTTACGTTCACTCGTTCTCTAATTCTTCCTTTCAACTTAACCTTATGAACAAAAGAAAAAAATACACAGATCTAGACATTGTTTCTGTTCTTTGACAGAGCCTACAATTCACAGCCAATAGAGGCTGGGTATTCTCAGTCAAAAAAAGGGAAATGAAGATCAAACGCACATGTCAAGCAAAAAGAACTTCATCACGCGCTAGACTTATCGCTAAAACTTATTCAGCCCTTCCTCTGAATTTCTAGACCCCTCTCCCTCGAAAAAAAGAAATAAAATTACTGAGTGTTCAAAGTTATTTATTCTCTGGTGTATTTTCATTGTGCTTAGTGTATTCATAACAATCATTTTAGATGACCAAGCTCGAATTTCTGCTGCCCATTACTCGTGATCAGCAAAGTTTTTGCCTGGTAACGTAACGATTGAGTTCTTTGAAAGGTCCTTGAAGTGATGACAACGTGTGATTAGCCATGTCGGTGGCCGGTTATACTAAAACAAAGACACTCATGTCCATCACCCACACTTGGACTTTGCCAATTCTTGCAATCTTAAGTTACCACCATGGAGCAATTCAAGTTATTTTTCGTCTTCATTGATAATACAGTAAGGCCTTCCCCTTTCGCACCCACTTCATGTTTGTCTGGTGCAATTTTAATGAATGAATAAGACAGGTCGCAATCTTGTATCTTCAGTTTCAAGTTTCGATTGATGTTTAATTGTGGAGAAGAGTGCCAGTGTGGGGCGATAGATTAAGCATCGACCAGCGGGTGTCCATTTTATCCGCTTAGCATGCGTAGGTGAATGGCCGCTGGCTCGCATCTCAAGTTTTCTTCGTGCCTTCTTCTTTTTGTCACTCATGTATGGGTAAGATAACTTTTTGAACTAGCATATGAATACAATTTCCCGAAAATATTTCGTGAGCAAAAGTATTACTACAGCTCTTTTTTTGGCTATGATTTTATTCTTCGCTAGCTGTTTGTTTGTTTTGTTTATTTTTCCAGCTGAAATCCACTCTGTTTACATTGACAACATTATGAAAAAGACATAGTTTGATGCTACACCGGTTTGCAGATTTAATGAATGTAACTGAAGAAGTTACAATTCATAGACCCAACATTTCGACACTCCTGTCTAGGGTCTTCATCAGGGGTGATCTAAACGCTGCAACAAGAAGTCCTTTTATATGATCACTAATTAGCGGCCTTTTTTCTGACGAGGTGTAAATAGGCGTCAGGAAGCAGACCGCCATCGTCACGATTTAAAGGAGCGTGGGCGGAGTTAATGTGCCAAGCCTCCAAACAAAGGCGTTGGTGGTAACGCCGATTAAGGGTGATAATTTTAGAATTATCTCACCCAATTGTATGGTTGGTTAGGCAAGTATGCTCCGATAAAGCTGAATTTTCCTTTTTGCAAAGAAAAACCGCTTTTTGGTGCTCTTTTAACCGTGTACCAAACTGGCGTTTGGTCTGTCCGACGTATTCGTTGTCACAGTCATTGCAAGGAATAGAATAAATGGCGTCGGTTAGTTGTTCTTTCGTGACAGGATCCTTAGGTTTGGCGAAAATATGCCCCAAAGTCTGAAAAGGTTTTTGAGCAACTTTAACGTTGTGGCTATTCAAAATTCTCTTGATGGGTTCAGTAACACCCTGTATGTAAGGAATAACAGCAAAATCAGTCGCTGGTTCCCTTTCATCAAGAGCGTTACTATTTGTAACTGGTTTTTGGCAGTTACGGAGAAAAGTTTTTGTATAGCCATTTGCCTTTAGGACATTGGAAACATGTTTCCTCTCCTCAGCCTTCGAATCGAGCAATGATGGTAGACAGTCAGCCCTCCTAAGTAAAGTTTTGGCTACAGACTTTTTATGGCAAATAGGATGGTGAGAATCGAAAGCGAGGTATTTGTCGGTGTGGGTGGGTTTACGGTAGACACTTGTCTCTAAATTACCCTGAACCCCTCTGGACACATTTAAATCAAGAAAGGGCAAATGTCTATCCTTTTCACGTTCAAGGGTGACTTGGATCGACGGCTCTACTGAATTCAAATGCGACAAGAGGCGCTCCGCTTCATTTCCGCATACCGCAGAAATAACATCATCGACATATCGTTTCCAGAAAAAGGGTTTAACCGGTGAAGTGGCTAAGGCCCTTTGTTCCACGTCTTCCATCATGACCATGTTAGCAATGACAGCAGAAACAGGCGAACCCATCTCTGTACCAAAAACTTGTTGATAGTATGTGCCGTTATATATAAATTGCGTGGTTTTGAGGCAAAAACAGCAGATTAATAATATCCTCCACAGGCAAAGAAGTTCTTTGTCCTAGGGAAGCATCTTCTCTGAGTCTTTCCTCCGCAACCTTAACGGCAAGATCAACTGGGATTTTGGTGAAGAGCGAAACAACGTCGAAAGATACTAATTCTTCACAAGCGTCAAGAGTTTTATCTCTTATGAAATCCGTAAATTCGAAGGATTTTTTGACAAAATTCTCGCAAGATAACCAGAAATTGCATAAGTCGGAGAATTAACAAAAGAGACAATGGGTCTCAAAGGAATTCCCGGTTTATGAATTTTAGGTAAGCCATAAAAACGTGGACATAAGCCGTCACTACTGTATAACATTTTGTACGTAGAGTCACTAATTCTACCTTTTCTTTGCAAAAAGGAAAATTCAGCTTTATCGGAGCATACTTGCCTAACCAACCATACAATTGGGTGGGATAATTCTAAAATTATCACCACTAATCGGCGTTACCACCAGCGCCTTTGTTTGGAGGCTTGGCACATTAACTGATGAAGGCACTAGAAAGGAGTGTTGAAACGTTGGGTCTATGAATTGTAACTTCTTCGGTTACATTCATTAAATCTGCAAACCGGTGTAGCATCAAACTATGTCTGATTGTCCACCTGGTTGCCGTGTGAACTTTAATATATTATGAAAAAGTGTAGAATTACATTTATTTTTTCAATTTTCGCTTTATTTATCTATTCTCATATGTTCAATTAATTTCAATTCCATTTGTTTTTACTGACTTTCGCCGATCTTCTTTTCAGTCTTATCATCTGACCAGATCGTGGTTTAGATGCTTAATTCAAGTATAGAACAAAAAGAAGACAAGGAGATTGTTGTTGGAGACTGTTAACACATTCATACTAGTTGTCTATGTTGTCAAACATCATTAAGTCGAAACGCTAAGAACCGGTTATTTAAACTAAGTTTAGCTGT